GATCAAGATTGCATTAAATCTGTATAACAGTTTGGGAATATGGCCACTTTCACTGCATTGGTTCCTTCTATCCATGAGCAAGGAATATCTTTCCATTTTCAAACCTCCTTTTTAATGTCCTTTTTCAAAATACTGTAAGTTTCAATATACAGATCCTTTACTGCCTTTGTTAGATTGAGTCCTAAGTATTTCATTTTTTGGATGTTATTGTGAAGGTTGTGGTTTCCCTAATTTCTGTCTCAGTGACTTTGTTGTTTGTATACAGGAATGCTATTGATTTTTGAGAATTTGGTTATTAAATCTAGAGGTCTTTTTGTGGCGGTTTTGGGGTCTTCTATGTAGAATATCATGTCATCTCGGAATAAAAATCTGTTTCTTATGGTACTACTGAAGGTTAGATCTTTTGGACCCTCCCAGTTTGCCAGAGTAGGTTTTACCTGGAAAATCCTCTGAAGCATTCCCAAATGGGAATGAGCCTTTGAATACCTTCACGAATAGTAAACCAGAAAATACCACATATTTCTAGCTCATTCACAGTGGGCCATTTTTTCATTCATATTTCAGCCAATGAACCAAATAAACTCTTAGCACCTTAAAAAACTACATGAGTTGTGACATTAAATGCAGAATTTCTGCTTAATGGGTCTATGTCAAGAAACTCAGCCTAATCTAGGTTTATGTTTCTTCCACCATTTTAAAAATCCACTCTCACTTCTATTCCCCAGACCTCTGTTTGCAAGAATTAGAACACTCAAGAAGTTCTTTAGGAGTATGATGTACCTCCTCGTGGATCATGCTTTATCCTACACCTTGAGGAGCCTTTCAAGATTTGAGCCTTGTTAAAGGTCTGGAGGCAAAACCACATGGTGAGGGTGAGTCCCAGGAACACAACAGATGTTTACTACAAGTATAAGCCCCCGCCCTGCGACATTCCCTCTTGTACCGGCCGTAGGAGGCCATCTAAGGCCGTGGGGCACCTCCCCACTTCCCTGAGGCCATAGAGTCCAACACCTTGTACCCTTCCAGTGTGTGAATGCTGGACTGAATGCCCCAACCTAGTTAGGCATGGAGGTGAGAGGATGGACACTCTACTCCCCCTGCTCTCTCTCT